CCTTTGTGTGTGACCACTTCTTGCACTTGCAGGTTACTCTGTACAGATCTTATGTTCTTTACTAATTTCAGTAATTGCTTCTTATAATAGGTAAACATCTATGTGATGTTAACAACAGCTAAGGTAAATTTTGGTCTTACAAATTGTGGATCCATGAAAAGAGGCTAGATTTAAAATCATGCTCCTTGTTCTGTTTTATTTTTTTGAAGAGTTTGAGGCCTCTTAGGGTGTCTTCTCTGGGAAATATTCAAAATTGCAGTGTAATTGTTTCACGAATTAATAATGTCGTAGATAAAGTCCATCTTCCATCATGGACCTGTTTATTTCAGTGAAAATCCATATTGTCTCACCTTTTGAAGAAGAGCTCTCACTATGTTCCAAAGCAATGCTTTTTAAAACCAAGCTTGTTTATATATATAAATATATATATATGTATACATCTGTGTGTATGAAAATATATGTCTGCACATATATGTACACATGCACACACTTAAACTGAACTGTGACTGTTCCTTGTCTCAAAACATCATCTGTGGGAATGAGACAGGAGAGAGAAGGGCATCACTAAAAATAGACAGGAAATATCTCCTGATTTTAATTCAGAAATGGCTAAAAAGCATGCTAGTCTTTTCTTGAAAACAGCACCGTCCCTTCTTTATGGTATTTTAAAAATGCTGCTGTACATAGCACTTTTTGGATGAATTTTACTATTTCTGTATTGCACTGCCATGCAAAATTTTCAATGATATGTTTTAAAAAAAAAGAGATATTTAATTTTTTTAGATGGACATATTTAGAATTAAATACCAACCTAAACAGAATAATAATTTTTCCTCCCCATTTTTTTTACATTTTATTTTTAGGGATGTTGTCCCATCCCCCCAATTATTATGTCATTTATTATAGATGTACATTTTATCAGTGATGGAGAAGAATGTTTACTGAGATGCATTTTAAAGAGAAACAGAGGTTTAATTTTATTTCAGGCTGCATAGAGTCCCTATTATTGAGAGGATATTTTGTTTTTATTTGTAATAATTCTTTTGTGTATACTGCAAAATCTAAAAATTTGTTTGTAAAACTACCTTACACTACTAAAATAAACATATTTAACCTTCCAGCTGTTGACTCTTTAGCTGTAACATAACACCTTTTCTATGGTGTCTAGCAGTTTGTGGTATATAAACATGGTTAATTCTATCATCTGCCTGGTTTTAAAAATTCCTTAGTGGATAACATTTAATTTCACTCTTTTTCAGAGAAGTAGCCATTTCAGATCCAGCTCAGATTTTCTCAGGTCCAGCAGAACACATGCAAGTATTGGTCCAGACTGGCACTCTGTTGTGTGATAGATGGCACGTGGATTATTTCGAAGCAATGCCTTTGGCAGCCAGTGATGGCTGTGTAGATGGAAATTCTAGGGGAACTCATGTAATTAGTACCCAGACATAATGCAAGAAATTCATCTATTCTGTTACAGCTCTCCAAGTAAGACAGATAGCTCTGTTTCATCAGAGAGGCTGTTTAAAGTCTGGCTGAAAATACTGCAGCAAAAATTTGCTCTTTACTCGTCTCGTTCAAAAATCTCTTCCTGTCCCAGCAAAGTGTGCAGTGAAAGCATGTGTTACTCAGTTCATACTCTCTCCTAGAAGGGTTGTCAGCGTACGTGTGGATTGCAGGGCTAGAGAGGAGTTCTTGGTTTCTAATTTTAGCATCATTTGGCCACAAGAATTTAAACCCTGAGATATCAAAATGTAAGGCTAACTGTAGCTAATGATATATCATCAGGACATAGAGATAGGGGCTGGGAGGACTTAAATTCTCTCATTAAACCTTTTCAAATATTCTTCAGTATGTCCTGTCTAAAAATACTCTCAGTTTTCCATCCCAGCTCAGATCTTCGTTGCTTGTCTTCTTAATTTGGATGAGAGGCCCTTGAGGTTTGTGCAGCAAAGGTTTGGAACATGCACTGAAGTAACCCTACAATATCACTGCAGTCTCTGAAGGAAAAACAGGTAAATCAGCAGCAGAATGTGTGATCTGCCAAGATTAGTCTTACATTGTGTCAACACAAAGCAAATTTCATTAACATTCTCTAGATGGAAAGTCACTCTGTAATACTTGAGTTTTGGGCTGAAAAGCTGCAGGGAGTTGCTGCTTTTTTATCTTAAGAACAAGAAAGTACCTGCGACTTGACAGCTTTAGAAACTTAATGTTTAAAAGGCCTATTTGTGTCTTTTCAAAGACCAAGTTTCACAAGCAGATTATTTTTATCTTTAATTGATGAAGCAATACTTGTTAAATTAATGCACCTCACAGAAGGCAGAATCATGTAGCAATTCAAAACATTTTTCTTTGTTCAGATTTTTAAAAAACAGTGTATTTAACTTGCTAGGGTACATGTGAATTTTGCTCTCCTGCTTCCACATTAATAGTAACTACCTTAACAGCTTGTTTCGTTACACTACATAAGACCATTCATGATGTGTCCATTTATTTCATGGTACCTACACTGTTGAGTAGCAGAAGCTTACTAAGCAGTTTTGTTCTTCATTCATCCAGTCTTCATCAAGGAAGAGGAATATTGCTTATCCAGATCTTCTCAGCAGGCAGGGTGCTATCTAAAATGGTAAGGAAAACATGAAATATTTACTAACAGTGGAGGGAGTCGGGAGCTGAGGTTCCAAGCGGCACTGATTTTCATTTTAGGAAAGCCTCACTGCTCTTGCTCTCTCGATGATCTTCACTACCATTCATATGATAATCAAGATGGAGAAGCGGATTCTCCCTCCTCCGTGTGAAATTGCAGGCAGATACACAGTGGTCAGCACGTGTTATCTGCTAAGGTCATAACATCCACTCAGCAGTAATCACTTCCTGCCATACAGGAGCTGCAAATTTTTACTAGAATCGTCCACCTGTAGTACAATAGAGTTAGGTATCCACAGAAAGCATCCAAATCTTGGCCAGAGGCTCGTACAGCACGACTGTTTGTGCGCCCAATTCAGGATGTCATGCAAGGGAGCAGTAGCCTGGCTGCAGGTGGGAAGGAATTCAGAAGGGCAGTTGAAATCGTTATTCTTCAAGAAGGTCAGTGACTGAGTGAAAAGCTACTGAGATAGGTCTGACAGTCTGGCAATTAAACTGCTGAGTGAGGACAGAGAGAGAAAGGCGGTGTGGGAAGGGGGGTGCTACTCACATGTGAGGACACTTCCTTGGCTATACCTCACCCACCAATCAAATCAATAACGCTGCCTAGAGAAAAACCCTTTTCTCTCTACTCCTGCTGGCTTGTACAGAGACAGCAAGTATATTCCCTTGTCCAGAGCTCTTCCTGTGAGGCCTCAGACTCTTGTAGTATGTGTTTTTCAGTTTATTAAATTGTAACATTAGAAGTCCAAAGTTTCTGAATTACAAGCAGTGTATTATATGTGGCTGGACTTGGGATTTTATCATCTGTATTCCTCCAACATAGTGTTTAAGAATACTGATGATGAAAATATGATTGTATCATTAAAAACTGATTTTGTCTGTGCTGAGATGCCTTCAGCTGCTTGTAGTTGAGCTTATCAGCCCTTGTTAGCTCCCAGCTGTGAAAAATCACATCTCATAATGTGCATCTTATTAAAACCTAGAAAATATTAATGAAAAGCAGCTGGAAACCTCACCTTGTCTGATTTTTGCTAACTTGCCCCTACATGCAGTCCTTTGCCAGAATCTCTAGGGCATAGCTATCAGGTGAGAATGAATGAACAAATCACATTCGAACTACCAAAGAGCACCTGGAAATGAACCTGTAAACATGCCCAAGCCTCTGAGAGAACTCCAAGGTAAATAGATCTTTCTGGATTCTTTTTCTGTTTTGGCCCGTATAGAGGATGTAATTATAGTTTATAACCTATCTTAGCATCTTCTCAGAATTTATACTTCAAGTATGACTTACATCATCTGGGGTCTGAAGTGTGTTAAAAGTGATCTAAGGACTCCCCTTAATTGCAGCGAGCTATGAGTCAAGCCCTTGAACTGTTAAGTTAATTTGGCTTCACCAAATGCAGTCTTCTAAGTGTTTTTTATTGAAAGCTAAGTAATTTCTGACTCTGCAGAAGGCAAGCTGTGTTGACATCTAATAATTGATTTACTCAGTGGCATGTATAGAAAAAGCTTATGGAAGAAGGCCAAGATGTGCAAGCTGCTGGAGAGTTTTCCATCTTGAACAGTGCTTAAAGTCAAGTAGGGAGTAAATTTTTGTTTCTTACTTAAGTTTGGACATGTTCCAACTCCCCTGCAGGATGAGTTGTAATAGTTTGCTGAATTCTTGTGAAGGCACTTCTTTGTTATTACAGTGCCTTGATGTGTGTATTTATAAATGACGTGGCCCAAGAGAATCAGCCACTTGGCAGGGTTGTACTTTAGCTCACTTTTGAAGTGAAACTAGTTAATAGAAGGATGAAGGGAGACAGGAATTTCACTTCTGTGCCTGTGTATTAAACAGAACTGTGCAATCCAGAGAGGAATATAATGGTTTACCTTGAAGCTCAGACCTTCCTTCAGCTGTCTGGGAATTGTGAGGAAGTACTAGATGTATGTAATAGTTTGGAGGGTTGGGGTTTCTTTTTGTGTCATGCACGAGTCCCCCAGCTGATCTCCTGAGATATTCACATAGCGGAGAAAGCCTTGAGCAGCTTACACCATCAATAGCCAGGAGAGATGAGCACAGCCTGGCAAGACACTATTTGAAAGAGAGGACTTTTACAGGACCACACAGCAAGCCAGTAGTGGTATTTTCTGAGTCTCAGTGTAGCATTCAGCTGCTGGACTCAACTGCTTCCAAACACTGTCTTTTTGCTGGGGGTAATCTCCTCCTCTCTTTCCCCAAACCCAAGGTGCCCCTAGAGTCAGCAGTGTGAGCTGGCATGTTCTGCAGAAGCCCCTTAGCCTGGCTCCTCCCTCTCTTTTGGCTTTATAATAGCGCCGAATGCCTGTGAGCATTTGGTATTCCAGCAGTTTCACTGTGCCTGTTCAAGTTGCTTCTGCTAGTGCCCAGTCAGCCAAACGGAGCTAGGAGAGGCTAAAGGAGTCACTGTAAGTGAGACGCTGCCTTCGGTCACTGCTGTTCTTGGTCTAGATGACAAGGATCAAAGCCTGTGTGCAACAGGCTCTCTCCTTCCTAGCTTATGGTTGTTCATCTTTTCCGCTGCTGTTATAATTCTGATGCCTTCCTTCAGCGCTGCATCCAGAAGACTGGTTGAGGAGTAATGTTGTCTTGTTTGTTTACATTTTGAAACACTGAAAACCCTCTGAGCAGTGAGAGCTGATTCTAGCAAAGTAACTTTTAAAACCCTTAGTTTGTTTTGCTGTAAAGCCAGCATGAGAAAACTTTGTAGTATCTCCTCAGGCAGATGGTGAATGGATATTGAGGTAGTTAATTTAAGCAGTAGCTAAGGAACTCTTTACACATGGGGAGGCACTAAACCCCTCTGCCCTCCCATTATTCTCTAACTGATTCTATTTGTCCTTAAACGACTCTAGTACTAAATTAGAGCAAGGGAAGTATATTAGCCTTTGCAAAAATTCTTTTTTGCACATATTTACAATCTATTTGTTATTTTAGACAGTCAGCAGCCACAGTGCTAACAGCTCTTTCTTTTCAGGGTGATGCAAGCAATATATTACCAGCTCTGATTAGCTTTTTTTTGAAGGAGGCCACTTGAAATAAAGATCCTTTTGTAGTATGTACCAAATTGTAAGGAAAAAGGATCAGTAATTTAAAGGCTAAATCTACCAGGAAAAATGCAGTTTCTCACTGGCTGAACCTGAAGACTACCGCTACTTTTCCTTTACGTGCCAAGGTGGGTGATTTAGCTGTGCAGTTCATGGGCTGCTCTGGCTACCACTTTGTCTATATTCTGCAGTTTCTTTTTTAGAAAATGTAGGCTCATCCATAACACAAATCTCAGTCCTCTGATACTTTCACAAGGATCAAAGTACTCCAATTTTGAAGTATTTCTTACAACAACAAAAACGACAGCATTTAAATTTAACCCAGAATCTTCTGTGTAAATTTTATTCAACTCTCTTATGAAGTGAAAAATGTAGACAAAGTAGGTGAGGGAAACTACTGAGCTGTAGTGTCAGGTGTTTTCACAGGAGTGCAGGTTTGGGGAAAATTTCATAAAAGTTGATGAGGTAACGTGAACTGAAGCCAGTGTTTTCTAAGCATCAGTCAGAAGCAAGTAATACCATATGGATGATTTTTTTGTCTATATAGTCTCCTAAATGGTAAGTTTTCTTGGTCATTTTTACTATGTTTTTTATAGTTTCTGGGGTAATGGTGTCCTAACCTTGTTTGACACTATGATGACAAATACAATAAAAAGTATTGCAGCAGCTTGAGACTTCATATAACCTGGCATTGATTGCCTTTCATAGTTCTGTTGCTGTTTTGCAATGACAAATGTACAATTATATCAAGCCATGCAGAAATTTTGTTGCAGGGTTCGAAATGGAAAAAGTTAATGAAATATGTTGATTTTCACCCTCCTTTTCCCTACTCCTTTTTCCTTGTTCAGTTAAGAGTAGGGGGGTGAAACAAAAGAGGGCTTCAGAAATAATTTCTCACCTCTCTTGATGGAGGGTGAAACAGCTTTGTTACAGATCATTTTGGAGTAACTGAAATGAACACTTGTTTTCTGCAACACAGGTGGAAAATTAAATTAAGGTTTTGCTTTTAAGCCCCCCAGATGAGAACCTCCTGGAGGAGGTTGTTTTATTAGCGCCTCAGATGGCTACTAAAATTTCTTTAACAGCACCTGCCCACTTCTCAGGGCGTAAGGGCCTCGTGCCCAGGAGCAGCCCGCTCCCCCCGCTTCCCTCCCTGGCTGCGCGTGGCCCTCGTTGCCCACAGCCACCCCTCTCCAGGGCCTGCTCACCGACTGGGAGAGAAACAGTGCAACAACCAGTGCAGAAATCTGCTTTCTAGGTTGGCCACATCCTTTCTGATGCAGTGAGGTGTTCACCAGAATCTCTTTTTTAGTGTTTGTTATGGCTGGTCTCGGAAGTGACTGTGTTTCCACCTGGAGACCTTTGTTTGAATTGGGTACTCTTCAGAATGAGGTGCAGAAAATCCAGGACATACTGATTTTTAACCCAGCAATGTAACAACTTGCCTTTCATCTCTAGCAGGAAGTTTCCTTTAGACAGTAGATATTTCTGCTCCAATGGACAAAGCTCTTCACTTCATGTTCTGTGTAATTACAACCTTGCTGCTCCTGAGACAATCAAGCCAGGCAGGTAAGAAAAATGATCCAAAAATGCTGGATGCATCCAAATCTGGTTTTTTTGTTCTTTAAAGAGTATTAATTTTTCCAGTCTCTAACTGCTAGTGCTTACAGAATTCTGTCTTAATCTAAGAATTTGCTTTCAAATTGGTTATTAAGGTATCACCAGGGCCTACCTTGTTGTTACAGATTGTGCTCGTGACTTTATCATGTTCTGAGTGCTGTTACCAAGTGTCTTTGCTGCTGCTGTTGTAAACCAGATGTCGGAGATCAGGGAAAATGAAAAAACCTAGAAAAATCTTATTAGGTGTCCTTGAACACCATTATTGTGGCTAAAGCTGCACTGTTTTGAGTCTATGGTCCCTTGAATTGCAGCAAGATACGCTGATTAACTTGTTTTTCTGTGAGCAACGTTTTTCATGTTACTTGTGTAGCCCCTCTGCTCATGGCATGTTTTGGGAAGGAGAGATTTAGTGCGTTGAGGTTGTCAGTTCTGCGAGTCTCCCGACTTCTTGTAGACAAAGGATAGCACTACATTCCCCCCGAAGTTCCTGAGGGACAGTGGCAGGAGCCTGCCAGGGACTGCCCAGCGATCAGCTGGTTGGATCACACCTCGCGCTCAGCCTGAGGAGCTGGGGAGTTTGCTTTTGCAACTGAACAACAAACACTATTGCTTCGATCTTCCTGTGGCTTTTTGGTGTTTGATGTCTGGAGTCTAAGCTCACACTAAGGAGTAACTTGACCTTGCAAAATTACTGGGAGATAAAAATCAGCTCTCTGTTTAGAGGGTTGGGAGAGCAACTGCGCTTCCTGGGCTGCCTCCTGTCCCTCTGGCACACCCATCTCCTGTCTACCCCAGGCTGGCAATTGCATGGCTACGGTAGCAGCAGGTCACCTCGGGTTACAGGTACTCCAGCCATTTGCTTCTGTGATGGTGGTCAAATTCTCTCATACCAGCCTAGAGAGGAGGATGAGGTAGAAAAATGGGGTGAGCTGGCCAGTTCTTAACAGTTCTACAAGCTTTTTTATGAGAAGTTAACCATCTCCCTTTCGAAGGCTGGGCATGCTCAGAGTAGAAGGGGTAAGGACAAGGCTGATTTTTGCAACCACAGTAATTTCCTGCAGCCACCAGCCTGTGGGGAACGAGTGGAGGGATGAGCCTTTTCTCTTTGTCTTATACTTTTTTAGACTCTCATAAAGGATTCTCACAATGAGGACTTGTCTTCGGAGAAGTGTCACTGCAATGAACTTTGAGTTAGTGCTGCAACTTGATCGCTTATGGTCCTTTCAGGAGTTCTTACAATGGGGCTTTGAACAGCTGCATCCAGTGCCACTGTGGGGGAGCTGGAGCCCTCAGTACAGGCTGTCTTTTTCCAAGAAACCATAGCAGGTCTTCAAAAAAGGAGCCTCAAAAAGCTTTTACTGGCTTTAATGAGTTTCTGAAGGGAGACAAGAGAACTGCTTTGTGAAGATTTCCAGCTCCCATGGAGAACTGTAGTGGAGAGGGAAAAAACAGGTTTTGTTTTACAGTAATGTAGAGTTCATCACAAGGCCAGAAAATGCAAAACCAAAGAATGAATATGTTGTTATATTTAATGAAAAACTCACAGCTTTTTCTTGAAAGAGTGAAAACACCCTAAATTTTTTGTTTTATCTTGAGGGATTTTTGGCTTTTGCACTGTGAACTCTTTGATTCCAAGGAGCAATACTGTGAACATTCTAGAAGAAACATCCTAGGCAATTAATGAGTTGTATATTGACATAACTGTGGTTTTAATTCTGCATCTCAATCATTGTAGTTTAGCTCTCTTACAGCTAGGGAGGGATTGAGTTATTCTCGTGAATATTACTAAAAGGGAAGCTGTGGACCAAGTAATTTATTGGGACTTGTTAAAAGTCACACAGCAGAGCAGAGAGTAGAACCCAGAAGCATGACTAACCTCAATAATAGCACTTTTACGGGTGGATCTCGGTGTTTTTACCAGAAAGGAGTATCATTGCCTTGGCTTTACAAATGGGAAACTGAGGCATAGAGGGGAGAAGAGGCACAGAAAAGGTCAATAGCAGATTTGACAGTCTGACACTGGGTGTTCATTCCAGTGCTGTCTACAGGGTTGCACTGGCTCTCATCACACTTAAGCAATTTGTCAATTTTATGTACTCCCCTTACTCTCTGTTCCTTGGTGGGATACAAAGCACAGGCAACACCAGATGGATTCCTGGTCCCTCTTTCTTTAGCACTGTTGCTGTTGGTTCCTGGCTTTGGTCATGGCCCTTTTGGAGGTTTTAATTTTCACATAAATAAAAAGTCAGGGTGCTTATAATTTGAGAGGAGAGTGTAGTAGAACGTGATGGAGAACTACTCCTGGGGTTGCAACCCCTTTGGCTGCTTTGTCAGTAGGACCCTATCATTGAACCAAACACCCTATCGTTAAGGAAGGGAAGAAGAAGAAAACCTAGTGCCTTGGAGCATAATGGAGATGAACTTTTGGTTGTTTACAGGGCTTTTGCAGGAGTTAGGGGGAAATCTTAGTTGTGTGAAGTAGCAGGAGAGCTGGTTTTTCACCTTGTCAGGGAGGGCAATAAAGAAACAAGGCAATTGATTCTCCGGAATCCATTCCTCAGTGTGTGAGTGACAGCTGTAATCATGAAGTTACAATCGGAACCTTCTGCAGCCTGCATCTGGCTGGCTGTGTTTCTGCTTCTGTATTTCTGCTTCTGTGGGTTTCACACAAATGCTGAGCTGGGAATGAGGAAACAAACTTGACAGAACTGCTGCAGGTCAGCTGTGCTATGAGTGTGTGAGTCACGGGTAATCATTCTGACTATTTAAGTGCTATATGAAGTGAGGGATATGAAACCTCATTTTAAAGGAGCTTTAAATATAAGCCCTGCAAGAAGTTAATCTTGTTGTTGTATTTTTTCAGGAACTACAAGGAATGGTGATGCTGTGAGTAAGGTATGTTTAAGTTCATTGGTGCGGAGCTACCAAAGAAGGCATATGTACAAAATGTCTTACATTTTAAATTCAGAAATAGATGTGGTCATAGTGTGCAATGCTTTTAATCTGTAAAGTGTTATTATTTTTAATGTGCTTTTCATAGCTAGTGATGGCCATATCTAAATCTGTCTGTGTGGCTACGCTTTTTTTTACTCATTCTTTTGTCCAGAATCCAAAATTCACTCATGCCTCAGGGAAAAATCTGCACATAGCCCAGTCTTCATGGCTTACGGAATTTAAACCTCAGAATTATTGCATCACTTATGATCTTTATAAACTACTTATCATTGAAGAAAATTCAGACACATACAAACATGCAGAGATACCTTTATTAGTTCTTAAGATGTGTGTTTTATTTCCAAAAGTTTGCACTTAACATAAAAAGGGTCTGCGTGGGATGTGATTCCTCAGGCTTTAGAGGAAAGATGGCAAATGCCACTTAAAATCTGACCTGCAAGAACACGGATATATTCACGTAATGCAGGACAGTATTTGTCCTAAAGACTTTCCAATCAAAAATGGTGGGAGAGTTGGGGATGATAGCATTGGGAAATGAAATTATTTGTCCAAATGGCATAGGTAGAGACAGAACTTGTGTCACCTGAATCTCAGCTCATTTCTCAGTCTCAAAGTGTGCTGGATGCCTGTCGCGTGCCAGAAAGAGAGGTTTGGGGAAAGTCATGGCATTTCAGTCAGGTTCAATTAACATAAACCTCCAATTGTTGATGCTGATATTGAGAAATAAACACAAGCGAACAAAAAACCCCAGGGAAACACATCTCAGCTCCTCTCTTGTCCTCCCCCTCCCCGCTCTCCAGTCCCCTCGTTGCACACATTTTATACTCAGCCCCTTTGGTGAGGCAACAAGGCGGCACAAGAGGTTGGGGTCTGTGTTTTGTGGTTCCGACTCAGTCACAGCCGTCTCCTGCAGCTCTGTCCCTCCTGGGGAAGCTCTCGTGCTCCTGCTCTTGCTTGGGGCAGCTCTTCTGCTTTGGCCTTTCTCCCACTCTACTCTCCCTCCTGCTCCTGGAGCTTTCTTATTTCTCCTTTGCTCCTGCTTGGGCAACTCTCCTGACTTGACATTGTCCTTAGTGTCTCTTCCTGCTTTAGTGTTCTCTCATCCAGCAGTTACCATACTTTTTTTAAGGATGTTTTTCAATAGGCACCATAATGATTCATTCCGTTTTGGTGCACTGTGGGTCTGTTTTGTTCATGTCTAAGATGGCTTGAAATGGCTGTGTCCAGCACTGGGCAGTTCGTGACCTCCTGCAGAGGTGACCCCTGTGCCACCCCTACCCACCCTCCTGCTACTGAAACCTTGCAGCTTTTGCCCAATAGAATACTCTTCTGGTGTATTTATAAAAGTTGTAGTATGTTGTTGAGGTTTTAGTTTTTTTAAGAATCACTTTGAAACCTTCAATAACTAGTGGGTGAAGCCAAATGAGAAGTACAGGCCAGGATTCTTTGGCCTTTTGTGTTATTCACCTTCTTGTTTGGTAGGCATAAATGTTTTAAACAGACCTGAAAAGAAATGTGACTTTTTTGCTTTTGTCTAAAAGCAAATTGTAGTTTATCTGGCAATAACAACATTGCTTCCAGAACACTTTGCTGAGCACAACTTCAAACACAAAGCTCAGCCCTCAAGTCCTTCCACTGCAAAGAGAGAATCAAAGCAAGATCGTTTGGCTCCTGGAAGAACTGGAGCTTCTTTTGCAGATCTTTTACTGCATGCATATATAAATATATATATATGTACACATACGTGCTCTCTCACTCTGTCTAGAAACATCTGTGTAATTTTAGAATAAAGGGATACATTTAAGACCAAGAAATCTTGCAGAATTAAACTGCTTTAGTGGCAAAAGCTTGAATTGTTCCAAAGTAGTACTGATCAGAAATCATCTGCAGTTGTGTGACTGTAAGGTTGGAAGGTGTACTCTTGAATTCAGCATTCCGTGCAGAAGTGAATCCGTGTTTCCTCTCCTCCTCCTCTCAGGTTTCCTACTGTTCTGTCTCCTGGAATTGCTCTCTCATGAGACTTTAATTGGCTGCTAACTGGTTTGTCTGCAGCATGAATCCATTTATTTGGAAGACTGTTTATCTGAAGAATTATGACAACATTTAAAGTGATTTTTATTTGGACAAAGTATGATGACAACACACAATAAAGTGAAATGCTTGTGATTTTTTAATTGCTGTTAGGGGGCAATGGCGGTGAGATTGCTGCATTTCACAGCAGCAGATTTATAGCTGGTTTAACACATGTACACACCCCTCCTGACACCCACCCCGAGTTATAAGGTAAGCCTTAACTAAGTGGGGCCATGCCTGGGACTTTGAAATCCAATTTTTTCTTCTTCATTTTTTGATTTGCAGGGCACTGACTCAAGGGGACCAGAAGAGGGTCTTCCAACTCTGACTGTCACAACTATCCTGGTAAGGCAGTGACACAATACTGATCGTGGCTGGGAGATAGATGGAATTACTCTTTGCCTTTCTTTCTCCCTCCATATTTTTTATGCCCACAAAATGGACCGGGCATACACTTCTACAAACGACTGCTCTGTGAAGGCAGCCAGGCCTCTTCGCTGTTTGGCTATGCCTAAGGGCTGTCGTGTTACCTCTGTGTTGTTTCTGTCCTGCAGTGGAAGTATTTAAAAAATCACACATGTGCTGGGATTAAAAACAGCTTATAAAAAAAAGAAAATGCATTACCACACGCACCAGACAAGCCAGACTACTCAGAAGAAGCTGCAACAGTAAATTCTGATTCTGATGTCAGGCCCTGCACCAGCATGTGACCCTCTTCTGGTGCTTTGACGGGCCAAATGAAATGTATTTGGGCTTTTAGCCTGAGAAGATTATCACTGACTTCTGTGCTACATGTGGCCTGCAGAACGCCCCTGCCCCACTGGAGCTGCAGTCTATGACTAGTGGTGGCACCTGACTCCAGTGGATGTTTTTCAAGTTTGGAGATGTCCCCCCGATAGTGGCTAGAGGTCTTTGGGGAGGGTTTGTCAAAAAACAACGGCTTCATTCCCAATCAGGTGCACTGCAGACTATGAGAGTATGTAATTATGTATGTTTTCCCTCAATATCCAGGAAGATCCTTACGTCATGGTGAGAAGTGCCGAACTGGAGGGATACTGCATTGATTTGCTGAAAGCTCTTTCTGCAATGCTCCACTTCAGCTACAAGGTGAAGGTGGTGGGCGATGGGCAATACGGCGCCGTCTCTTCCAATGGGAACTGGACAGGGATGATTGGTGAAATTTTGAGACAGGTAATTTTCAATTTATATTTTTGAAAAACTGCAGCTCTAGAAGGCAAGAACAGTTCTTGCTAGTGTTTCTTTGTGTTCTGAGAGACTGTACAGACTTAGCTCACTAATGAAACAATGATCATGGCTTTAAGGAAAACTTACCTTGAACTTTACCACTAGGTGAAACTTGTCTCTCTCAGAATGGTAATGCCTTAGACTCCTCAAGGAGGTGCTGGGATGCAAATCTCATCCCACCATTCGCCATTCCCTGTGGCTAGCATTCTGTTGGTAACGTTGGAATTAAACCTTCTTTGCTCCTCCGGACTCAGTGCTGTGTCCAGCTGTCAGTCATGGAGATGCCACAGCCAGAAACAGAAAGGAACACGCCTTCTGCTTTTGGAAGACAAACCCAACGTGGCTCATGGTGCACAGCCTCAGCCTGTGTGTGTGGTGCTGTAGGAGGAAACCAGAAGCCCCAGATACCAACCAGCACCCCACTATCAATAGTGCAAAATGGGAACCTGTGCTGTTTCTTGGAGCTGCCAGTCTAGCTCCGTAGCTGTCTGTTGGCACAGAGAAGTGATTTGTCATGTAGGTATCTGCCCACTCCATCTGGAAGTGTTCTATTTGGGTGACAGAACTCTGAAGGTAGGCTGGATGGTTGATTATGTTTTATCTCCATCTCACAGGAAGCAGACATTGCAGTGGCTCCGCTGACAGTCACGTCAGCGAGGGAAGAGGTGATCTCCTTCACCACACCGTTCCTGCAGACTGGGATTGGAATCTTGCTTCGAAAAGACACAGTCTCTCAGGAGATGTCTTTCTTCCACTTCCTGGCTCCTTTCAGTAAGGAGACCTGGACTGGCCTTTTATTTGCTTATGTGCTGACCTGCTTCTGCCTCTTTCTTGTTGCCAGGTATAAATGAATTTGTTTTGCAGATTTTGTTCAAGTCAACTGCTTTCTCAGCTATGAAAAGATCTCAGTTTTAAAGGAAGTACCAGGGTGCATTTTGCTTTGAGGAACCTTCTGTACAGGCCCAGAACCAGGGCTGATAAAGCTCCAGTCATGTCAGATTAAGAGAGCATTAAGAGTAGGACCTCCCCACGAAGAGCACCGTGTCTCTTGATGTGGATTACTCAGGGTTGCTAAAAGGACTCCGTGTTTGTATGCTGGCTCTTCTTTCTCATTTTTATCAGAGTTTGACCATGTTCCTACATGCAGGTTTCTCTCCTGGTGTATTTTTATGCGCTGTATCCTGCACTGACTTGTGGAATAGATTCTCTCTGCCACTGCTCCACACCCTTCCCAAGAGATTCAGCTTCTCCCCCTTTCTTGGTTAGGCTGCACTAAAGCTCTCTGCAGCTGCAGTCTTGAACAGAAGCTCTATTGCTGCTTTTCTAGTTTTATGCACAACCTTCATGGGAAAGGATTTGCTCCATGGAGCAGCATTCAGTCCTATATTACGGAACAGAGCCAGTATTGCCACGCAGGTGTGCCTGGGAGCCTAGATTAGCAGTGGCCCAGGAAGAAAGTGTCTGGCAAACCTGTGACAGGACCCCCAAGCCATCACTGTTGCAAACTACTGGCAGCATTGAATAGGAGTACTCTCCTCTTCACTGGTTAAACTGGAGCTTGGGTGCAGGAGAAGCTGCCATGGAAGGAAAGGGTATTTCCAGGCTATCTGCACTGCTGAAGTCATACTGCAGGATTATTTATACTTTTTTTCCCCCTGAATGTCTGATTTTATCCTGCCATTTTCCCACAGACTGAGCCCCTGTGAATGGAACGAGCCAAAGAACGAAGAGAACCACTTTACCTTCTTAAACAGCCTCTGGTTTGGAGCAGGAGCACTTGCCCTGCAAGGTGAGCTGGGAGCGCTGTGGCAGGGCAGCTCTGGGAGCAGCAGGTTTTGTTAAGCTGATCCAGCTCTTGTCTGTCCTGCCGGGGGAGAGATGTTCTGACAGGGACACCCGGCAGCACTAGAACTCCCAGTTCGGGGAGTTTTGGTTTCAGACCTGCTGGAACGGCACAGATGGCTGGCTTCAGTCGAGGGATGTGTATTTTCTGAGTGTCAAGCTACCCATCACACCGGTGCTTTGCAGAGTGGAGTTTTTGTCGTTGCTTTTGGCCACTGACGTTGCTCCAACTCTGCACTGTGTGAAATATTGATGCAGGTCAAACCAGCCATCAGGGTCTTTTCAGGCTCCTGCTTTATGTAGCTGCAAGGCAAGATCTGCAGTTTGGCGTTTATTTAGAGGGAAGTCTTTAACTGAGGCTCATGGCTCTAAAGTTCTTTGGCTCTCTCTCACCATACATCACCTTCCACATGTTTTATCGGCTCCTCTGGTCGTGCAGGTGTCACCCCTCGGCCCAAAGCGCTCTCGGTGCGGGTCATCGCTGCTGTCTGGTGGCTGTTCACCATCGCCTTGCTGGCTGCCTACATCGCCAACTTCACTGCTCTGCTGAGCTCCGGCAGCGAGCAGCTCCCAATCCAGACTTTTGAAGATCTCGTGAAGCAAAGAAAGCTTGAGTTTGGGACACTGGACGGCTCCTCTACTTTCTACTTCTTCAAGGTGCAGAGAATCTCATTGTGCACATACACACGTGCCCTAGAACTGCTAAGCCGGGGCCAAGCTGTCTAGCTCAGGCTTATAGGTCCTTACACCACCCTCATTGCTGTCAACTCCATCAGTTTTCCTGTAATAATTCAATTGTTCATCTCTTCTTCCACCTTTCCTTGGAGAAGAGAGCATACAGAGAACTGTATTTTTATAGTGTGTTCTCTTTTAAGAAAGCAGTTCTCGTCTTCAGGGGTTATCTCTGTGGACCTTGAACATGAGGACTGACTTAGGTAATTTCTGGATACATTAACTGCATGCCCGCAAAGGTGGTTTTTGGGGTGGGTGGGAAATACTTAATCATAGAATCATTAGGTTGGAAAAGACCTTTGAGGATCATCAACTTGTGCTCCAGACCCTTCACCAGCTTTGTTGCCCTTCTCTGGACACACTTCAGCATCTCAATGTCTGTTTTGTAGTGAGGGGCCCAAAACTGAGCCCAGTATTCGAGGTGTGGCCTCACCAGGGTGACGATCACTGCCCTGCTCCTGCTGGCCACGCTATTGCTGACACAAGCCAAGATGCTGTTGGCCTTTTGGCCACCTGGGCACACAACCGGCTGCCAACCAACACCCCCAGGTCCTTTTCTGCCCGGCAGCTTTCCGGCCGCTCTGCCCCAGGCCTGTAGCGATGCAGAGGGGTTGCTGTGACCCAGGGGCAGGGCCCAGCCCTCAGCTTTGTTGAACCTCATACAACTGGCCTCGGCCCATTGATCCAGCCTGTCCAGATCCCTCTGCAGAGCCTCCCTGCCCCCCAGATCAACCCTCCCACCCACCCTGGTGTCATCTGCAACACTTCCATCCCCGTAACACTCTGCGTTAGAGGGAGATCTGTGTAGCTGTGTGTTAGTTTTCAGCAGAGAGGGCTCAAAGGGCAATGGTTTAAATACTCTTATTCCCCAAATTGTTTTGCAACCGTTGCGCATCGATGCAGATTGTTTCGGATGATTGTTTTACACTTGACACTTGGATTTTTGGGCTGCAGAACTCCAAGAATCCTACCCATCAGATGATCTATGAATATATGGACAAGAGACGAGACCGTGTTTTAGTCAAAACCTACCAGGAGGCAGTTCAACGTGTGATGGAATCAAATTATGCCTTCATTGGTGAATCGATCTCTCAGGACCTTGCAGCTGCCCGGCACTGCAATTTGATCAGGGCCCCCGAAGTTATTGGAGCCAGAGGATTTGGCATTGCCACTACTCAGGGTTAGTCATTCTGCACCACGTCTGTCCTGCTTCGACACGTGGATTTCACGGCTCTGAAGTAGCAGACTGGCAGAGCAAAAAGCCTGGCAGAGCCGAGTCCTGAAATTGGCACACATTTTCTGCATTAACACTAATAATCCAGCATGAACTAACTGGTAACCCTGCTCTGCAGTGTTTTCATTCTGTAGATGAATTCTCACTGGCACTCACTGACTCTTTGAACTGTAATACGTAAAAATTTCCAACTCTCGGGGTGTGAGTGGTTCCTGGTTTTGCCTTGGTCCCACTAATGCAGCCCTCCTCGTGCCGTTAGCAGGGTAGATGGTGCGTTCTCTGCTGGAGCATAACTGTGTGTATTTCTCCAAGTACTTTCACCCTGTCATTGTTCTGCCAGTATCGTTGTACCTCTGGGGACAGGACAGGAGGGTCGATATTCAAGGAAAGCTGTGGCTTAGTCTGTTGCATTCCGTGTGCAGAATTCCCACGGGGTGGTTGGGAAGCAGCCCCCGGCTGATCCCGCTCGGTAGTGTAGCAGCGGGTTTCTTAAAAATGTTCTAGTGGCTGTGATCTCTCCCATGCTCTTCTCTCTCCCATTCTGCTGCCGCCAGCATCCCCGTGGACTAAGAAGCTCTCCATCGCCGTCCTCAAGCTGCGGGAATCGGGTGATCTCGACTACCTGCGCAACAAGTGGTGGGAGAGCAGCTGCCTTCACAAGAGCGGAGAGCGGTGGAGTCCCCTGCAGCCCCAGGCTCTGGGCGGGCTCTTCCTCACCCTGGCCGTCGGCCTCGCGCTGGGGGTGATCGCGGCTGTGCTGGAGCTCTCCAATCGGAGCAGGCACGCTGCCGGACACGTCAAGGTAGGGGACAGTTCTCTCCTCTCCCACCTCCTCGGGTCCCTTCTGCTTCGCCCGGACGAGCGAGGCTCCAGCGCTCCACTGCGTGGTGCTGGATTTTCAAACTGAGCCTTTTTCTAGGGAAAGCAATGTAAGAGTGAAGGGGGAAAACATGCTACGTATTTATTCTTTAAGAAATTTCATAGCTTGACCCGTGTGATAACCTTGTAGCCTGAACAGGGTAACAGTCATAAAACCACCTGTTTCCCCCCGCTCCCCAATATTAAGTAGAAACATTTACTGTAACTCCTAGGCAGCCAAACTGCATTCCGATATGCTGAGTGTTTACAGAGAACAGTAAATCATCCATAACAAGTTTATTCTCAAGTATGGCTGTTCTTAAGTCATTTGACAAGCAGGAAAACACATGTAAATGAAACTGCCCCAGGATGTGAGCGTGCACCGTGCTGTTCTTGCTCTCCATCCAGTCCAGCGGATGGGTCGTGCACACTTCACCCGTGTGTTCCATGACACAGAACAACTCACCCCCTTGTTTTCTCCCCTTTTGTTTTTCAGAAATCTTGTTGCTCCGTTTTCACAGAAGAAATGTGCACTCGTCTACGTATAAAAGAAAATACAAGACAAAGCCAGGAGACTTTAGGGAGGGCTAATGCTTAAGAATTTTTTGCTTAAGGAATGGGCATGTATTAGGTTTATACCATATATATTTCATAGGAGCAATGTAGAAAGATGTTTTTCTGCAAGTCTAGAGTGTTAGTTTTCTAATTACAAACACACACAGAGAGCACTTCTGGATTGGCGGTGGAGCTGGATACAGAAGAAAATTAAATGGCTTGGAAGAATTTAAATGGATAAGGGGTAGAGTCTAACTGTTACTGGGAAGGGAGGTTAACAACTTGGTAAAATAAAGTGGAGATGGCTAAGATGGTGGATCCTTACTTAGTTTAGGTGTTTACTATGTAAGTACATGAACGCCTATAGGAGTGACTTGGGATAGGTTAATATGAAGCCTCTGCTTACTAATTACAGAATGAGGTACAATCTTGAAAAATTAAAGCTCTCATCTGCCTGTTCTAATCAAGAACTGCTTCTTAAACATTTCAGTTATAAATAGGCTGTACTCTTCCCCTCTTCTAAGCAGGTGGTGCTGGTCACTGTGAAGGTCATTTCTGAATCAGAAACAACAATACTGTAGCATAACCCCCCCAAAATGTGGGATGTAACTGCAGTGGCCTAAAACCCAAGAAAGGGAGAGTGTGCAGTTAAGGAACCACTCGACTTATGAAATGCAAGACCTGGACTTGTCCTTTAGGTTTCCCACCCCAGGGTAAGGGTCACTGTTTTGCTGCAGAGGATGTTTTGTCCTAGTCAACCTGATCAAGAAGTATTTAGGAAGAAGACTGATAGTTGAAATCCAACAGGACCAGCGCATGAAGTTTTGTAATAAGGCAATTAAAACAAAGTACAAGTTCACCAGGCGAGGGTGAGGCAGTGACTGATGGGTATTTTGCATCATTCTCTTGCTCTCAGAGAAGAATCTTTGACATTCATGGGGAACAGTTATCTCAGCTCCATATTAAATAGTTCTCTAATTAAGCTGGTTTTCATTTCAGAGCTGGTATGACCGATGCATACACATGTTGGTTTGCAAATTCAGGGTTAAATTACTCCATTTATGTACTGCACATCTGATGCAGGGGAAAAAAAAAAAAAAAAAAGGCAAATTCAGTTACTTGGAACTGGTTTTAACCGCACTGCATAACCAAGTCTTATCAGTCCCAGCATTAAATAACTGAAGGCAACAGAAACTAATGTGCCTGCAACAGGAGGACAGCCGGGTCTTCCTGAATAAAGCTCTACACATTCACTTTGAGGGTGACTTAGTGAGACTCAACTTCCACCTGCTGCTCAGTCACTTTGTACCGTTGCCGAATTCCCCTCCCACCCAGCTGTTAACAAGATCAAACAGTGAAACAGGAGTAAGGAGTCCTTCCACCTGGTGGTAAACTAGTGCTGTTCAGTTCTATCTTAACTATGGCTTAAGCGAGGTGTGTCAGGTTAGGAGGTGGATCAGGCCTTCAGTCGAATTAACTGCAAAGAGCATGAAACGTTTTGGGTAAGTTTAAAAGCTGACATGGAAAATGCAATGTCAGATTCACTTAGCACTTTAAAAACTATTTGGTATGTGCCATGTCATTGCTGGCAGAGTAGGCAGAGATGTATAAAAAAAGGTTTCATTGACATTTAAATATATTTCTATATGAATGTCTCACAGAACAAAAAAATAAAGTCTTTTCATCACAAATACTGCAGCATTAAAATAAACACTTACCAAAATAAACAATGAGTGATATACATATATATATTTGAGTGTGTATACTATAGAGTGAATCATATTGTTGCTTTTTAAGTCACAAAAGCACAATATAAATACGGAATTTCCTGTGAACTCTTTTCCCTGTTGTAATAAAAATACATTCTTTACAGTTAAAGTAAAACTAGTGCAAGTCCATTCTGCTGCTCCTGTTCACCCTGCGGACTGGATCCCTATCATTTACATGGCACCTCATACTTAAAAATGACACTGAAAATCTTCCCTCCGAGACGATCAGCGAGCCAGGAGTTTTTGATAACAGCAAGCTTGAGGCTCTCGCACTTCAAAGCCGCGTAGTAATTGGTGTGGATGGCACGGCCCATGCCTTCGATGATAACCAAGTCTGTCTTCCGTTCTCTGACCAGCACAGCCAAACCTTTATCCAGACGGCTGAAATGAGAGGGCTGGTTTAGAAACAGTCGTCCTTGTGCATGGCGCGAGAGACAGGCTGCTCTAAGGGCTTCATCGTTTACATAAAACGTGGTGGGATCTGGAATTACTGATGCTAGTAAGCAGGAACACTTTAAATCAAAGGAAATGAGATTGAAACATAGTTTTAAAAGCTTCACTAAATGCATGCAGAATTGGGATTCCCCAGAAAACACAGGTAAGTTCTGTCTCCAATAGAGAAACTAATTAAAAATAAATGGGTTAATAACATGAAATGCTTCTTATAGTCAAGTGGATTTCTTGGCCACATGCAGAAATTTCACATCATCCATAACTACACTGCTCACGACAGTGACAGTGTGTCGTTGCTGAACACAAATATGGTAAAAAAACTGTCCAACAACTAGTAAGGCTTGGTCAGTGTTACAGGTCTGTGAATCCAGACTAAGCAACTCTTAGTGGTTGTGCAAAAGTGACTCATCTCAGGAAAGGGGGCTGAGATTCTCCAGAGCTGGCTCTGAACATCCTGCAGCTGATGGAGACAAACAACACATCCCTGCTTTGCCAATCTACCTTAGATCCAGACACGGAGAACTCGAACCTGTCTGAACCAACAGCAGCTTCTCTTCCCTCAGTGCAGATCTTTATTTAGAAAAAAGACAAAACCATTAAACAGTTACCTCAGCAGGGTCATGCGAATGTGGAACAAGCCAGACAACAACAAGTATTTAAGTTATCTTTGCAAAGGCTTCTTTTCCTGCTAGGACTTCACCAAGAAACATCATGTTTCCTTGAGCAAAAGGATTATTTAGTCAGCTCTGCATCCTCTACCAGGGATACTTGATGTGTGAAATGTATGTCGTTTCCTCTATTCTTTTTCACATAGAAAATTTATGTTTTAGTAGCTTGAGTGCTTATCAGGGAAAACACAGACAAGAAATACATTTATGGATGTTCAAGAAAGATCTGATTTCTAAATTTTGCACCTTAATAACAGTAAATGATCTGCTTTAGCTTACTTCCAGGTTGCAGATTTCAGACACTAATAAATACGGTTAAATACGAACTAAGTATGTAACAAGGAACCTCCTTTTTCCTTCTCTGTATTCTATGAGAGATAATGAAGAGTGGTTATGGCCTTACTGGATAATGGGGTCCATTGCTGCTATCCGTTCAGTGACAATCAGGGATTCACTGTAGGTAACGTCGTTTAGGGCAGGGCCAGAGTTACAAGCCAATATAACCTGAGGTAAAGATGTCAGAGGAGTTCACCGATTAACGCAGTCCACAGCCGGTGTTAGAGCTGCTTGTTTGTTTAAAGTCACCACTGCCTGACTTGTTTTACAAAAGAGGAAATGCAAAGACAAAGGCTGGAGGCCCAAGCCTCCTCTCCCCTCAGTTATCCAGCTATTTCAGATCTTTGGAGACAAGAGACCCCTGTGCAGCAGACACAGGGCTGACAGCAGCTCACTCTGCTTCACTACCTTTCAGTCTACTTCAAGTTAGACTTGGGAGTTCCCGGGGTTTGGATTGTTCCCAATTTAGGTGTTAGGAGCCAGTCTGTACTGCTGGTAGGTGGTCAACAACCCTTTCACCAATTCCCAAAGCTCCATTACATAGTGAATTGACAATAAAACCCACTTACCTCTGTCCCTCTAGAAAGAAGCTCTCTGACAAAAGGAAAGACTCCTAAAATTATGTCTATTCCACTGTTATCTGCGAAAATTAAGGCACATTTATGAGGGGGACCCTCCTGTAAGAGAAAACCAACGTATTCAGGATCGAGTTCACAATTCATTTCAGTGAACAGTTTGTGTTATTTAGAACAACTCGCTTTGAGACCCCACATGTTATACCCTTCTATGACTGGCAGTTTTGGTTATCTAGCAGCAGCATAACTCAACAGAACATCACCTACCCTCAATCTCAGGAGAAACCCTTTTCCCTATCGCTGCCTTTGCACAGTTCTTTAAAAAGCCTTGAGTTGCTTTGTTTGACGTCGGTCTTTGAAACTCCCTGAGTAAAACCTACATCTGCCAATGAAAGACCCGCCTGCCTCCAGCAGCTTGGAACAAGATCGTGCTTCAGAGGCCTCTGGCCCTGCCTGGGAGCCCCGACGAGGGCGAGCATTCCGTCACGCCTCGCAGCCGTAATCGGCAGTGTGGGCAGCTGCCGCCGCGAGCGCGGTGGTTATCAGGGTGAACCTACCTTTGGGGCTGTTTTAAGCTAACAAGCTGTAGGGTGAACAGGATTCCCTTCTGCCAGGAAAGGGCAGGACGGACTGCTGGGGGCAGTGACATCCTCAAATGAAAAGATACTGCCTACTCTCCATTAACCTTTTCATTTGTTCTGAATCTGATGTTATGAAACTCAGTTCAGTTCATACTAGCAGAAGAATTTTTATAGTGAACAATGCTTAATTCCTAACAAAAAATTGTCAGGACAGTGCTTGAAGCTCCTTGTTTATCACTGATATGTAAGATTAGCTGATACTTTTTTTTTAAGACATAATACAAAATGATTTGCAATAGTCTACTCACACCAAACCTTCTGGCTACCATTTCAAACACAGATTTACACAAAGAAACAAAAGCTTTTCAATTAACCTTAATTAATGAGTAATAGATATTACATGGGGCAAAAAAAATCTTTGCTAATTGATAAGTTAATTACTTCCAGCAAGCTCCTAAATTAAAGTCTTTTTTAGGTTGGTTACTCAGAGGGAGGAACAATCCAAACTCTGCATTTGGGCCCAATTTTTTCAAAATCAGGGGCTAATTGTATAAAAGCAAGTGCCCTTGTAACAAAGGGGCACAATGTGGTTACTTTGGAACAGCTTTGAAAGCAGTTGGGTTCCAAATGCTGCAGTTTCTGAAGGAATTCATCTAAGAAGCTTGGTAAGTAATGAAGTGTCAGACTAATTGCTTTTGTTCCTTTCTTTATGGTAAGGCTGCTGAATTACTGGTACTGTGTTATCAGAATTTATTTTGAGTTGTCTGAATGGAGTTATGTTTAATCTGCTAAAAAAAATGAGATTAATAAAGTGGTTTTATGGTTAATGAAATTAATTACTTAACGGTTAGTAACAATCGTGGCGGCATACCTTCAGTCTCTCTAGCCACTGGCTGTAGGAATCTTCTAACCAGGGACGTTCTGTGT